AACCCTAAACCCTCAACCCTCGAACCTAAACCCTAAACCCTAGACCCTAAACCCCTAAAACCGGGTTCCGTCAAGCGGACCGGGGAGTCTAGGGTTTGCGGTTTAGATATGGGTGGTTCTCTAAATTAGGGTCCTTTTTTTAGGGTTTAGGGTTTAGGGGTTTAGGGTTTAGGGTTTAGGGCACCATTATAAAAAGGACCCCAAAAGTGACCCTAATTTAGAAAACTACCCATATACTCAACCGATGATCAGAGAAGCGCGCCTTCTTGGGGGTGCCTAGAGAGGAGAGGTTGACCGTTTCTGAGTTCGTCATACTTAGGGCTAAAGGTCACTTGCCCGAAGGCAAAGAAGCCACCACGGAAGGCTTCAAAAACCACGGATACCGCAGGGGCCCAGAACCACGAGTACCATCAGCCCTGCACCGCACACTCCACTCCCCCACTTACAGCGCCAGATCTCCAAGCCCGAAGAGCAGCATGGCCTAAGCCCCCGCCAAAGTAGCCCAACACCTACAAAAGGCTACTACTCTGCACACTTTGAGGGTCTAGGTAGCCGTTCAAAAGCTTTCAGTACCGGATGAAGTCCCTACATGGCCTAAACCCTAAACCCTAAACCCGTTTAGGGTTTAGGGTTTAGGGTCAGCCATAAGCCCACCCACAGGAGCGTCCCGTCGCTCAAAGTCGTGTTCACCTGGGGAGAGGCTGGATGCTGTGTTTAGGGTTTTAGGGTTTAGGGTTAAGGGTTAAGGGTTTAGGGTTTAGGGTTTAGGGTTTGGGGTTTAGGGTTTAGGGTTTAGGGTCTTGGCGACCCCAGAACCTCTGAAGGCCTTTCGCAGGATTTCTTTTGAAAAGGAAGGCATGACAGAGAAACGGTACAATGCTGAATCAGGCACTTTTTGATGTTTCCTGGTTTGGATCTTTGCAGGACATGATCGAGGAGCTTAGGGTTATGGGCCTCGTTTTTTTTTCTCAGGGTTTAGGGGTCAGGCGCCTTCCCCGTTTACTTTCCGACCTTCTTCTGTGAATAGGTCCCTAAATCCTAGAGCCTACTGCTGAGGATTATAAATCCTGCAGTAGCTTAAGGACCCTAAACTATGGGAACTGTGGTATACTCCTTCTTATGGATAGTGCAGGATTTATATCATCAGCCGTATGGGTGCCTTTTGCTCCTTAAGCCCTAAACCCGAAACTTTAAGCCCTAAACTATGTCATCAACCGTACAATCCTGCCAAGTCTCAGCCCTGGGCCGGTAATCCGGGAACTTAATCCATCTGAATCCTACACCCCCCTGAGCCCTAAACCTTAAGTTCTACACCCCAAACCCCAACTCCAAACAAACCTCAGCTCTAAGACCCAAGCCCGAGCAGCCCAAATTTCAAAAACACATTTTGAAAAAAAACGAATATATACCCTAAATCATATTAAGGATCCGACTATAATTTAAGGTGAATTCCTTGATTAGGTCTCGGATGCATGGAGTGCTATGTTGAATCATAGTTCGAAAGCCTCGGCGAACTTAGTGTGGAAGGTTTGTGCGCTTTTCGTTGAAGGGTTTGTGTGCTATCTACAGAGGCTGCAGAGGGTCCTGCCAAGCTGCGGGTTTTGTGTTCCCAGGTTTCAGGTTCAACATCTGGGGGTTTAGGGTTTTAGGGTTTAGGGTTTAGGGTTTCGGGGGTTCAGGGGTTCAGGGCTTTAGGGGTTTAGGGTTTAGAGTTTAGGGGTTTAGGGTTTAGGGGTTTAGGGGTTTAGGGGTTTAGGGTTTAGAATTTAGGGGTTTACGGTTTAGGATTTCGGGTTTAGGGTTTGGGTTTAGAAGCTAGGGTATAGGTTAGAACTTAGTATCGGATCTTTAGTCAAGAAAGGCCTTCAGCCGTCACCGTACAGCCCCAAGCCAGCGCTGCGGGTTTCAGGGTTGAGTCAAAATCTCCTGCCCTGAATCCCGAGAGCAAGCTCAGAACCCCGATTAACGACACTTTTTCAGCAAATGGGTTTAGGGTCAAGGTTCTAGGGTTTAGGGTTTAGGGTTTAGGGTGTAGGCAGGGTTTATCCATAGGGGGTCTGCTTGAACGTCGCAACCTGATTCAGAAGCGACGAGTTCTCAATCCCTAGTTGGTGGTACGAGAGGGGGCCTTACTAATTAGACTAGGGTTTTGGGTCCCAT